AAAACTTGTTAAAATATATGCTTGATTATCTACACGCAAATCTGTTAGATCTAAACAAAGTATAAAATATAAAAAGATTATCTAAACAAAATATAAAAAGATTATGTAAACAAAGTTTTTTATATAAAATAGATCTAGAAATCGAATACGTTTCCAGGGAATACAAATTTTATTCTCTTCACTATAAACTGTCTATACTTGATCTATGAAAGATAGTTAAAAAAACGAAAAAGGAACCAAATCTAAACGTAAACAAAATTTCTTACAAAGATCTTCTGTTTTTCTTGAAATAAAAGGAGAGAAAGAGATCTACTGGATTTGGTAGAAGAGATATGCGCAACACTATATATATACTACATAAAAGATACTTCTAGATTTTCGACGGTTGAGTTGACACCTTTTTACCCTAATAATAATTGTTGCGTGTGAAAAATAATTAGTGGATTCCCGTAAAAAAAGTAATTGTATTCCTATAAAAAACTAATCGTATTCCTTTTTTGAAAACTATTTCCTTCGAATTTATGTAGATGTATGTGTACAATCCATAATATTAGGGCCCTTGCTAAAATAAATCCACTAACGAATTAATATTAGGGCTCATATTATGAAGATAACAAAAATGTTTTTGATCCACCAAATCAGTCTTATGCGAAGTCTTCATGTCCACAATTATCAGTCTATATTACAATTAATCTTCAACTTAATTTCACTAATTTGTTATTAATCTTCAACTTAACTTTACTAATCTGTTATATTAAGCTTATATATAGTAGGTCAACTATTAGAGAAACCTTAAGAAACCTAGGTATTAAGAAGCTATATACGTAGGATTGAGCGAAAAGGAAAGACTATATAGAATTATAATTCGGTTGGGTTAATTACTCTCCTTATAATCGTTTAAAATTATATTTGCTAAGAATAAGGACATGAGTAGTTGTCAAGTATAATATTTTAATTGAGTAATTGTCAAGTATAATATTTTAATTCTATAATATAATATAATATTTTATTTCAAAAGGAAAGACAATCATTTAGTATTATTTCCATTTTTCATGAGGTATAATACACTCAAATGCATAAGATTAAGGAAAATGAGTAGTGGTCAAGTAATATATTCAATATTCCGATATTAATGATTTTTAATTTTATGCAGCCATATACCGAAATATTTAATTTAAAAAAGGAAAGACAATCATTTAGTATTATTTCCATTTTTCATGAGGTATAATATACTCAAATGCATAAGATTAAGGAAAATGAGTAGTGGTCAAGTAATTTATTCAATATTCCAATATTAATGATTTTTAATCTTATGCAGCCACCAGCCGAAAAATTTAATTTAATTAAGGAAAGACAATCATTTAGTATTATTTCCATTTTTCATGAGGTATAATATACTCAAATGCATAAGATTAAGGAAAATGAGTAGTGGCCAAGTAATATATTCAATATTCCGATATTGGCAAAGGTATATTATTTCCATTTTTCATGAGGTATAATATACTCAAATGCATAAGATTAGGGAAAATGAGTAGTGGTCAAGTAATATATTCAATATTCCGATATTGGCAAAGGCATGAAACATCACCTTCTCATGATATACATTTGTATTTATTTAGCTGCTTTGCCTTACCATTGTTCCTAATTTACGTAGGATTTAGTCTTCATATCCTTTTTTAGGTTTGAATATGTTTGATTAATAGATCAACTTTAATAAATGTGATTTTGAGGTGGAAATATAATCTACCCTCTTGAAATAGGCATATGAGACAGATTATTCAAATTGAGTTCTTACCCATTTATTTCTTTTCATAATAAAATAAAAACGATATTAGACTACTTTTATCTACTATTGAATTCTGCAAGCAACTATCTTCCTATTTGAAAATCTCTACACTCTGATTCTCTGGAGCTAATTAATCTTCATGATTTATTTGCGCTTTATTATAACTTTCCACATTTTCGAAGTCCAATCATCCACGGAAAACACTTTAAACATCGGTTTTCCGAAGAAATTTAAAATCATGAATAATGCACTTCACCTAACATGGTTTAGTGAAGAACAAATAGAAGTTTATAAAATATAACAAAAATCCAAAACAGAAAGGTTCTTTAACCAAAATTAAGAAATGACAACAGAAGTACTCTCAGCGACAAAGCCATAACAATAATAAGAAAAACAAGTATTTTTAAATATTCAACGGATCACTCGCCCTTGATTTTCTTCTGGGATGGTTTCTTGCTGACGGAGTGTTGATCCTCAAGGCTTGTGTCATGATCTTTTTGATCTTCTTGGATTTTTCTTTTAGACAAAGGAGTAACTGAAAACTCACCAGAACCAAAGGAAATAACATCCGAGTTCTGCAACATTAGGACCAAAGTCATAAATCTATGCAGTTAAACCCTCATGATAATCATTTAGTATTTAGCTTCTGTGGCAATGAAATCATTTGTTTTAATAAATCTGGTTTAGAATGTAAAGCAGCAAATTCCTCAATCATTTCACGGTCTTCAGTAGCCAATCGAACGACATACTGAGAGCTCTTTCCCTTGATGTTGTCAGCATCAACTGATATCTCAAAAAGGAATCGCTTGCCACAAAGGTCGGTAACCGCTTCAGGTAAGACGTCGGGATCTTCATTCTACGATCATATATACTCGGTTACAGTAAAGATAACTATACAATCACATAATGTCGACTGATATTAATGAATCAAAACTACCTCATCATAGAGGTCAGCGCCAGGATGACGCACAATAAGTTGAGCATTGGCGTCAAACAAAAGAAACTTTGCCTCACCTGAATCGTCCTTAACGTTGGCAATTAATTTGAACCTGAAAACAAACATCAAACTAAACATGATACCTAAGCTTTATATGTCACAGAGTGAACCCTAGCTCTAAAAGCACATTCAGTAACTCAGCAACAATCATTTATGAATACTTTACCTTGAAATGACCTCAATGTGTTCCTTATCGCATGTAGTGCAGAAGAACAAGGGACGGCTAAGCGCATCAACATTGGTTGTTGGCATGACTTTTTTGTTATGGTATTTGCAGCTTAGATATTGCCACCCACGATCAGCATCTATGCTTTCAATTGTGACAAGAGTGACAAAAGTACCAACCTAAAAATATGCGTCAAGTTAATATTTTTCTAACTATTAAATGCACAAATATTGATTCGCAACCTTGTTTAGTAAATATACCAGATCAGTATCGATGATCTCCCTTATGGTTAGCCTCTCATTAGTCACAAAAAACCTAGCACGAACAGATGTAGCACTACCAACGGACCATTGGCTATTATCGTTGTTTGTAAGAGCAAGTGAATCATTGGGGAGACTGCACAGTAAAACAATGTGATAAGACCTCTGGTTTCTCGTAAAAAGGTAAGATGAAAATACAATGAGACATACCTAGCTTTAAAATTTGCAATTAAATCCAATGTTGGGTTGAGCAAAATATGGGTTGAATTGTACCCGCTAGATATGGAGTAAGCACATGCGGTAGCACGAAGCTTATCAAGATGTTAAGATAAGTCAATTAAGAAAATAAGTGTAGGAACTATACCTTTCCACTCTTTAATGGAACAAAACCGGATAAGAGCAATGATCATTGTGGACATGTTTAACATACTCTAATCATATACTTGTTTAGCATAACAGCCCCAAAGAGTACACATCAACTTGACATCACTGCATATAACGCCCAGTAAGGTTAATGGATCTAACAAAAAAAGCTGATCCAATAATTTGAAGGAAAAGGCAAAATATTTAAACTTACTTTTGGTCCCTTAACTCAATCAATAGCTTGAAATTATCCTTTCCTTTTATGACTTTGTTTTCAAGAGATCCGAAGTTAACTACTTGGCCAATAACATCTACATATCAAGTTAAGAAGTAAATATTTGCTGGTTTAAAAATATTGTAAGACAAAGCAATAGTACGAATTGACTCACCAACCAAACGACTGCACTGTAATTGACAAGATACTTCTCCGGAACTTCACTTGGGAAGTCATCCGCTGGTCCAACAAAAGTAGTCTGAAAGAATCCAATTTTGTAGGGATGCGCGGTGGTTCGATAATCACCCGTAGCGTCGTACAGTTTAAATAAGTGGATGACCTTGGCATCGCCTTCGGTTAGTTTCCCTTCAAATTGTTTTATGAGCACTTCACCGATTTGAGCATGGATTCTTGTCCCCTACACGGTGATGAGAAGAGAGTTAAAGATGTTTGGTGAAAAAAAATTAAGGACGATCGAACTAACATCAGGGAATCAAGTAATGAACTTACTTCTTTATCGGCAAACACCATTTCGATGGTGTTTCCGGAATCTCTGTTGTAGTTTCTCCATAAACGCAGAATCCTAACCTCAATACGCCATGTATCTTTACACGGTCTCAATTCCCTGATGAAAGACACTCGATTTTTGGTAGCTTTAACCATTGCCATAGATGTTTTTAAGACTTGTTTTCGGTTTACAGACATTAGGACATCGTATATATATTGTCAATCTTTCCTAATGGTATGAGATTGACATATTTGGCATTTAATTTCCAACTTCTTACGCAAGTTATCGAATATAATGTAAGGAAAGTAAATAACCTAACAAAATTTTAGAGATACGATTCTCATACCATTTGCACGCCGAACAAAAAATAAATAAAAAAGAAAATTAAAATAAATCAACCAATCAGATTAAAAGAATTACTCTGAGAAGGCATGTATGAGTGCCACGTGTCAAAGTGACTTCTCTTTTAATGTATAGGGGGATTTTAAATTTGCATGCCGAACAAAAAATAAATAAAAAAGAAAATTAAAATAAATCAACCAATCAGATTAAAAGAATTATTCTGAGAAGGCATGTATGAGTGTGACATGTCAACGTGACTTCTCTTTTAATGTATAGGGAGGGTTTTAAATTTAATTAAAGAGAAAACAATACACGTAACCTTATAGCTAATTTGAAAAAGAAAAAAAAAACCAGAGCCTGAAAGATTAATTTGGGGGAGAAGCGAAAACGAGAATTAGGGTTTAGCCATCTCTTCGACATGGCTGCCTTGATTTCAGAAGCTTCAGGCGAAGTAAATGGGTCGAGTAGTAGTACTCTCTCGATAAAGAGACAACGCTCTTCGGTATCTTCTGGCGGCGACGGAGCGAAGAAACGCTCGCTGATGCTGTTCGACTCAGATCTTCTCGACTGTCCCATTTGCTACGAACCATTGTCAATTCCCATCTTCCAGGTTTTGTCTCAGAGAGTTTCTATTTGGATAACTCTATTTTTTTTTTGGAAAATAGATAATGAATTGTAATTAAAAAGGACAAATGCTTTATCTTTGAACCGCCACTTTTGTTTTCTTTGTCGGAACGAGAAGCGACAAAGAGTAGTAACGACACTATAGTTTGGCAAACCCTTACTATGTTATTAGTATTACCAGTTAAGATTAATTTTTGTGTTCTTTGTCGGACGAGAAGAGACAAAGAGGCTATAGTTTGGCAAAGACCTTATTATTTTATTACCAGTTAGGACATTTTACTGGAAGCTTTCATTTACTGTGTGTTTTTATTTCAGTGTGATAATGGACACTTAGCTTGCTCTTCTTGCTGTCCCAAATTGAGTAATAACTGCCCTGCTTGTGCTTCCCCCATTGGTGACAAAAGATGTAGAGCAATGGAGAATGTTCTTGAATCGACCTTTGTCCCATGCCCAAACGCCGAGCTAGGTTGCACTAAGAACGTCTCTTATGGAAAAGAATCAACCCATAAGAGGGAATGCAACTTCTCCCCTTGCTCTTGTCCGACACCAGGCTGCAATTTCACTGGCACATACAAGGATCTATTCGTTCACTTCACTTCTACCCACCGGAGAAGTTGCTCGTTAGATAGGTTCACTTGTGGACTTTCCTTCAGTGGGCAGATCAAAATCAACAATAAGATATCAATTATCAAGGAATATACTAAGTCTCTATTGTTTACAGTGCACTGTTTCAGGGAGCCGTATGGTGTTAATGTTACTATAAGCTGCATCGCACCAGCTGCTCCAGAAGTAGGAGAATTCTCATACCATCTCTCCTACACTGTGGATGGGCACAGTATGACTTACGAATCACAAGAGGTGAAGAGGGTTCTTCAAGTGAGCTGTCAAACCGGTCAAGAGAATTTCATGTTGATTCCTCACTGTTTATTACGTGGGGATTTGTTGAAGATGAAGGTTTGCATCAAATCAAGAAGCTGAACAACCGAGCAAGAAGGGTAGGTCATATAGAAGAAGGTACTTTTTTGTTTCTTTTATATCCCCCTGCGGAAACTCTATCTAGTGATGGAACTAGTAAAATCGATATATGTAACCCCAAATTTGGTGCTAAGATGCATGTTTTGGCATGAATATATATATATATTAACTAGGATTTGTTCTGCATAAGCAATTTTGGCCGTGCGGCTAGTTTATTTGGTTTGAGAAATGCATGGACCAAATCGGGGATTATTACCCTTTTGGGTAACAAAATCTAGCTTAGTTTCAGTTTTTTTCCCATGGTGAGTAGGATCAGCTTTGATGTCATTTGAATTCAACCTCTTACATATGAAGATCAATTAGTATAGCAAAACCAACATAAATCTGATTTTAATGCCCTGGTGTTTGCTAAATCATTACCATTTGAGGCTTGGATGTACGGTTGTTCTGCCGGATTTGTTTCCCTAGTAGAACTTTTGTAAAACTTTGATTTCATGACTAATATAATTCCAGATGAAAAACAATAATGGAAATTATGCTAAAACATAACAGAAAATCAGCTTCATTGTCACCTTAAAATGAAACCAACATAATTTTATCTCTATAGTATAAATATTTTCATAATCCCAAAATTACTTTCATTAACTAAACATAATATAATTTATCAAATACAATAATATTAGTTTTAAAAAGAAATAAATAAGGGATGATAAGTTAAGGAAATTAAACAAACAAGAAGGGTAAAAAGGATGATGTGTCAATTTTCTTTTCAAAAATAATTATTTAAATAATAAAATAAATAAAAATAAGTTAACAGAAAAACAAATTAAAGAAAAATCGGAAAGGTAAATCAAAATTCATAAACTTAAACAAAAACTAAAAAAAAAGCAGAATTAAAATAAAATTTAAAATAAGATAAATTACAATACAGAAGATTAAATAAAAATTTCTTAAAATTAAATAAAAATCAGAAAATTATATAAATAGTTTTAATAAAAAAATTACAAGATTTTTTTTGATCAAAAAAATACAAGATTTTGTTTCAAAAAAACAGTTTGAAACCATCATCATTAAACATTGTCAATGATGATATGTCAGTTTTTTTTAAAAAGCAATGTTGTAAATTTTATGCAACTTTTTCAATAAAAAACTAACATATTATTCATTGGAAAAAAAAGTTTCAAACAAAACCAACAAAATTTTCAAGTTGTCGATCGTTTGCAATGATCACTGGTGGACATGTTGATGTATTGATCCATTCAGTAAGTAAATAACTCAACTCCAAATCGATTAACCTAGCTTCTTCCATATTAAAATTCTTCAACATCATTCTTTTTAAATCTTCGAAAGTAGAATTTGATTTCAATAACTGTAACCTATCCTCTATGTCGTTAGCCGAAAACATTCATCATGTTGTTACACTTAAACTTCCATATATTACAAGTCGTATAGATATGCATCATACATGAAAATTTGTGAAAATCAGAAGAAAATAATGGATAAATCTAGGTTGGATGAAGAAGCCAACCTTTAGTAGACATTTTTGGGTTTTTTATAAGGACGTTTAAGGCAACTACAAAGATTATAAATTTTTATAAAGTATTTTTGAAAATTTTCCAAATTTATTTATCTTACCCGTGGAATGTATCTTCTACACAACATAGAGACAATAACATGTTCCTACAAGCAGATTCTATTATAAGTAAAGCTCGGTTGCGGGTCAAACCCGCTCCCCTTGATCCGCCAACCCGCGGGTTGCAATTCTTTTTTTGTAAAAATATTCAATCTACACAACCCGCAATCAAATAAAATTTTATCGGCACCCGCCCCGCTTAATTTTGCGGGTAATCCGCAGGATCCGCTCGTTATATATATATTTTGTAAAATAAGTATTTTATTTATTTTATTTAAAAAATAATATGAATAATATATTTATAACTAATATTTTCTATATTTTACAATTTTTAATTATTTTTCTTAATATTCCCATATTTTCTAAGAAAATATAAAAATTCACAAAAAAAACGTTTTGTTAAAGTTTTTTTTTGCAGGTTAACGAGTACCGCAATCCAAAATCCACAACCCCCATGCGCCCCTCATAAAATACTTATAACCTGTTCCACATCGCGGATCAAATGGGGTGGACCCACGGGTAAAGACTCAAATTCTCATCTCTAGGTCTAGGGCCAGGTTGCGGGTCAAACCCGCCAACTCGCGGGCTGCAATTTCTTTTGTCAAAAATATTCGACCCGCACAACCCGCAATCAAATAAAATTTTATCCGCACCCGCCCCGCTTAATTTTTCGAGTTATCCGCAAGACCCGCGGGTTATATATATTTTAGAAAAAAAAATTATTTCATTTATTTAATAAATAGTATAAATAATATATTTATAACTAAAACTTTATACATTTTAAAAAATTAATTATTTTTAAATCCCCTCTTTTTAAAAAAAATATAAAAATTTCACAAAAACATTTTTCATTTTTTGTTTAAATTTTTTTTTGCGGATTAACGGGTACCCGCGATCTAAAATCCACCAACCTGCACCTATCCCACATAAAATACTCATAACCCGCATCCGTATTCGCGAACAGTTTTTTTTCAAATTGTTCGGCCCGCACTTGCCGTGCCACAAGTCAAATGGGGCAGGCCCGTGGGTAGATACTCAAATTTCCAGCTTTAATTATAAGTAGAGTTTTGTGTTATATGTCTAGATTATGTATTTTAAGAGTCTTAGAATTTGAATATGCAGTCAGTTATTTTGTAGATTCTCTTACATTAAATAGACATCACATTCTTCTTATTTAGAGTTCTTTATAAAAATAGATTATGGATTCTGAAAAAATAGAATTACTTGTTTACCGTGGAACATGGTTTCTACCATGTCATTTTCGTAAAAGATAAAATCTATTTTTCATAGAATATAATTAAAATTCTCGATTTAACAAGTTTTTCAAAATTAAAAAAATATATCAGTTTGTGTATACATGTATTTCATCACTTGTTTATATTTTTATTATTATTATTTTGATTCATATAACTATTTATTATAGAAAATTTTAGAAATAGAAATGGTAAAAAAAGAAAGAACAAATGGATAAAAATATGTTTACCAAAAAAAAAAGGCAGATTTTCTATTCCGTTTTAGTATAATTCCCAAAAGTATATTACTTTTTCTCACTGGAATTAATTTATTAATTATTGATAAAAGAAACAACAGTCTCCACTAGGTCTGGGCAAAAAAAACTAGAACCTAAAAACCGAACCGGAACCATACCGAAATACCCAAAACCGAAACTAGATCGAAATTCTTAAATATCCGAATGGTTCCTATATATATACCCAAAAAACCGAACCAGAACTGGAACCGAACCGAGAACCGTACGGGTACCCGAATATCCGAAAAAAACAAATAAAATGACATGAAGCCCACTTGAACCTAGGTTAGATACAAAGAATAAATATATTTTTACCACCAGACCACATTATGTTTTATTTATTCTGTTATATTATAAATATATATGGTATTTCTTTATTAAAATATGATAAATATTTATAAAATTAACATTTTATTGATTTGAACTCTTGTTGGATTGACTTTTATGTAAGTGTATAAACACTAGACCATTTAAATTAACATATTAACTAATATATTCTGTATATATATATTTGATTTATATATTAAATGGTATCCGGAACCGAACTGAAACCGAATTGGAATCGAACCGAAACCGAATCGAAATCTCATAAGTATCTATTGGGTATAAGAATGATTTATCTGATATACCCGGAACCGAATGGTTCTTATCCGGAACCGAACCGAATATCCGGATGCCCATGCCTAGTCTCCACTCTCCGGTCTTTCTTCCAACCTTTTACTTTCTTCTCTTGTCTTGTGATTTTCTCCGACAAACAAACAAACAAAAATGGGAGAGAATCCATGGCAGCCACTTCTTCAGACCTTCGAGAAACTCTCAAACTGCGTGCAAACTCATCTCTCCAATTTCATCAGCGTCAAAACCACTCCTCGTTCGTCATCCACAATCCAAAACAACCCCATCTCATCAGACTCTTCTGCACCAGTCACAACCAATATTTCTACTCTCCAGAAGCTTCCTCTCAAAGTACGAATCTTTTCTTTGAATCCAATACGAGTTCAATTAGCTTATTAAACACCCGCGAAGCTGTTCGATGAAATTCCCCAATGAACCGTTTCTGAGTCTTATCTCTCTCTCACTTAACATTATGGTTGAAAGTTAGATACTTTCTGAAAGGGTAACGCATTGGTGTTCTACTATAAGTGTAATTCACTAGTGATGATTTTGAAGATGGTGTTCCAATTTTTGGGGTTTTATTGTAAAAGATTTCACCGTTGAAGTTAAACCCTTATTGAAGAGGGTATCTTTATTTCATTGCAAAAAGCTTTTTTTTGATACGAACAAGTGTAACTTTACTCCATATTCTTTCAGGACAAGTCTACAGGTCCTGTGACTAAAGAGGATCTCGGGAAGGCTACTTGGACATTTCTGCACACACTTGCTGCCCAGGTTGAGTTTTTCTTATACTGACTTTCTCAATTTATTCGTAGTTTTGAACTTTGGTTGAACGCTTTCCTGTCTTCCTTTGCGCATAAGTGACTCTTTACCATTCTTATCATCCCTTTGTTTTCCTTCATACATGAGGTATGAACAGACTTAGTGGTGGAATTTTGGTATTGGTTGGGCATAAAGATAGCTGAGAGTGCTCTTTGATTCACTTTTGGTTCTTGTTTTCGGTTGCTCCCTGTTCCTTGATCAGTTTCTGTCGTTCTCATATTTCTTATCTTATCACATTGGATTGACCTTTTGCAGTTTTTAAGAATGTATGTTTATGAATCGGTTAAACTCAGGTATGTATATATTCTGAATCAGATGCTTTTTCTTTTCTTTTTTCTCATCAGTATCCAGAAAAACCAACAAGGCAGCAAAAGAAGGATGTTAAAGAACTGGTACAACTCTTCCTTCCCTAGTGTATTATCCTATTTGAATTGTAAACATCAGTTTATCAGATCAAGTTTGAATTGGTAGTAATGCTAGAATTTTCCAGCTTGAAACGCCTACTAAAATATATTAAAAGCTTAACCGTTTCTACCAGTTATTCTCAGTAATCTGCAGTCCCAAGTGTTCTTAATGTGAAAGCTTATAGTGAACATTTGTTTTGCGGTGTAGATGGCAATACTTTCCCGAATGTACCCTTGTAGAGAATGTGCTGATCACTTCAAAGATATCCTAAGGTAATGTTATCTCGTAGCTCATTGCATCTTAACGTAGTTGATTTTGATCACTCGTTCTCTCTTGGTTTGGTTCATGATAGATCGAATCCCCCACAAGCTAGCTCTCAGGAAGAATTCTCACAGTGGCTTTGCCATGTACACAACACCGTAAATAGAAGGTATAAACTGAAAGAATAATGTTATTGATGGGTTTCTTGGACATCTCAAACTTATGGGGATAGCTCAAAAGAGGTGAGGGCCTGAAATGGAACTGCTTAGAACTTATGATATATATGTGCAATTCTATTTTTCTGCAGTTTAGGGAAGTTGGTGTTCCCGTGCGAGAGAGTGGATGCAAGATGGGGCAAGTTAGAGTGTGAGCAGAAAAGTTGTGATCTTCATGGAACTTCTATGGACTTCTAATATTTTATGAATTTACTGTCTATTTAATTTACTTCCTTTTTAATTGAAATTAGATTTTGACACGCTTATTTGTTTTCACTTTTATATATGTAAATATATTTTTGAACATAAATAGTATATATTTAACGTTAATCATATACTTAAATATTTATATAACTATTTCAAATACAATAATTTTATAATTTACCTGTTATATTAATCAATTGTTAAAAATCGTATGTATTTGTCACTTCTTATTATATTTTTATTTTATTGTATTTGCATTTAGTAGAATATATTTAAAAATTATTTTGTATTTTAAGTTTCTAGTGATGGTCCATTTAAAAAAAAAAATCACACATGGATCAATGTTATGATTTCTATTTTAATATATAAGATGTTATTCATTTGATTCTCAAACTATCTAAAATTAGATATACAAATTATTTGGCTATTAAACTATAACTGTTTTTTCTGAAAATTACCATAATTTTTTAAGTTTAGGATTGATCTTTTAATAAAAAAAAAGGCAGCTACTTCAACCAAAATTACAAATCTAACTAGAATGGTTAAACAAAATTGTTGTTGTATAAATTATGTAAAATGTACCGTTCTAAGTAAGTATAAAACCAGTGTTTACACGGATAATAAAATGTTCGTATATATTACACGGATAATAAAATGTTCGTACATAACATTTAGCTTGTGCTCAAATAGCTTCCTTCGTCCATTTTCCTGCCTTCAATACTTTTTCGTGCAATTTGTGAAACGTTACCTCTAAGAAACTTTGGAACAACCAAAAAATCAAGTACTTAAATCACATCTTGGTTTTGATTCAAGGGCACGCATAATTAGATAACTACACTAAATAATTACTTAATTATAGTAAATCATTTTATAATATTTTACACCAGCTCTCCATGTGTATCATGTTTTGTGCAAACCCCTATATTTCAAATAGTCGAGTACTGTTGAAGTTTGAGCAGCAGTAGTCTCAAGAACTATGCTTGTACCTAAATATACAGAATATCCTATGTGGGGATTAACTAAAATTTGTATTTCCTCACTACACTTGTCATGGAAGCTACTTGTTCAAGACTATATAATTTGCTGGAGTTTTCTATACAGAGAACATATTATTATCACAAGAACAAATACACATTGTATTTAGCAAAAACAAACATACATTGTTTAGCAATAATTTATTCAGTAATGAAATGGAACCATTGTTATACTTAAGAGAAAAAAAGTAAAATCCTTGAGAATCGGTAGGAATGCAAAAAACTTCGTGCGCAAGTTATTGTATTAATGAATAACGAATACATGTTTAACTTTAGTTTACAATCTCAATAACTATACTGAGAGGAATAAAATGAAAGGATAGATAAGATACAATGTAAGAAAAAGCTTTTGAATGAGAATGTGTTGGGATTAAGTGGAAAGGATGTTCCAAGTCTGGAAAGTAGAAAGGTGACAGTATTAAATCGTTAATATTTATTTATTAATTATTTGTCAAAAGGGTTTGGCATTTTAAAATACTCTCAAGGATGGCTAACTAATATTGGTCTCTTGAGTGAATAAACAAATATGATTAGTCAATAATCTGTGAAGTATGCTTCAAGTCACATGATCTTAGGAAACTTAGCTGATAAACAAATAGTAATGCATTAACAAACTCCAAAGAACCCTTGTATACACTATACAGTAATGTATATGGATCATTTAAGCATGCTAATAAAACACCGACTAAAATACATGCGTGTAGTTATATATTAGACCTAACGTTTGAATTTAATATAAATATTTTAAAGTTCTTTTTTCAAAACAGAGTACATATCTTTTTTAATTTCAACTACTATCCAACATTTTTCCATTTATAAAATGATGTCGGAAATAGTCACTGTGATTTATCATACTTTAAAAATTACATAAATCAAATTACTTGATACTAGACGTTTAAAAATATTTTACAAAGTTCATTTAGTACAGTTGGGAAAATAAATTGTTTCGGTTTAAAAATAGTAATGGATTATAGATAAACAATCTAGTTGTACACATATATAGAGTAACAGAAAAATAAGCAATGGAAACTTAACCCGAGTAAAAAGAAAATCATTACATACACGTTATTGCTTTTTTAGTGTAATGAAGTTGTCAAAGTAGTTAGATAGTGTTTTGTGTGTTAGGGAGAGATGGGTCTTATTAAAGTGTCTTTTCTCCTTTTCCAATTTAATAACATTCAAAGAGATGTCATCCCCACACCTTATTCTACATTTTTGGTTAGTGGTTTAACTATAAAGTTTAAAATACAATTTACTTTTAATTATTTTGGAAGTTTTATATATTTAACGTCTTTAACGTATACATGAACATGATCCCGGGGTTTTGGGTGTGTGCCGTATCCGCTTTCGAATCGATTAAGGTACGTACTTCATAAAATCAAATAAGATACGCATAGTTCACCATTTTATCAACTAATTAATCATTTTATTACTAAACCCGCATGATGCATCCTCGGTATGTTATTCTTGTTGTTAACATATATATTGAAATGTTTGAGACGTACATGATCATTTCATTATTATTATCACATCACCATATTACTTAAATGGAATATTAAGAAAATAACGTTAATAAAAAATGTGAACAAAATATGATGTTAATAGTTCGATAGAGTACAAACTATGACTGTTATATTATTAGGATTAAGAGAGTTGTTTAAGATAGCTTTGACTCTAAGCAAAAATGACTATATATGGACTAACTAATACTCACTCCAAAGCAAGAAAAAAATATAAATGGAAGCTAAAAGTGACATTACATCTTTTGAATTTCTTAAACATTTCATTAACGTTAATAGCAAAATACATTACTTTGCTTGTGGTTATATTATCTCACATTCACCCTTTTATTTTTTTTTCCTTTAATATAAGATTTAGGAATACATATCCTTTTCTACCTAGTTGACTATATATTGACGGTATACAACCAAATCATTCAAGAGTAATCGTAATTCTTTTAAATTAAGGATGTTCTTCTTCTTCTTTTTTAGAATTTGGTATGCATCTAAATCATATGTTCACATCAATGTCTCTTCAAGTCGTGTAAAATAGTATACTGTTTATTTTCTTATAACAAACGGAAATTTTAAATTTCATTAGACATATAGCATACATATATAGAGGAATTTAATTCCTTACTATTATATAAGAAACGTAAGAACTAGATAATACCGACCACGTCTTTAATTATCACCTTTAATGGTTATTGTCCTCCAAATTAATAAACTATTAATATATTCACTCATATTATAAATAAATTATATATATATATATATTGTCTTGTTAAGTTACTACTAGTATTTATTTGTGGGTTAAGGTATGATAACTATTTAGCGGTGGTAACTTTGAAGGCCAAGAAAAGAGAGCCAAAAGCGATCCTGAATGACAATTGTAAGAAAAGTATTTATTTAAGCACATGCAAATATTCAATTTGCTTTCCAAAAAGCATAAAGATAAACCAACTCTTTTTTATAATAAAACGTTTTCTCAGTGATGACTAATCAAATTGTTACAAGAAACAATCTCAATATTGGGTAATTTTGTGAATTCGTTTAAAGCAGTTAATAGCTAAATCAACCACCAAATTCATGAATAGTGACTAATTAGCTTAATGGTTGCACTTACCATAACAAATCACATATTCTGACAAAGATTGAAAACTCAACGGAATTTTTTTTGAATTTAATTCACAAATATAAGCAAAACTTACCAAAAAAATTTATTCTATAAATACTCTATTTTGACTATGAACAAAATAATCATTCAACTAACTAACAAGAAAATAATCAGGTTAGTTTCCTTGTCATTTATTAAAACCAATGTTCTAAAAATCGCTAGGCGGAAACTAGGCGCTCTATAGAGGACTAGCGCCTAGGCGGATTATTCGGGGCCTAGGCGGGAATTAGGCGTTAACGAATTATTGATTTATTTTATATATATTTTACATTTATATAAGTGATTTAATTTTTTTGGTTTAATTATAATTTTATTTTAATAAATTATCAAAATCCGATATACAAAATAAAATAAATTGCACATATTTGTAATTATTTCCTACATTATTACTTAATTTAACAAATTTATACTAATTTAAACTAATTATAAATGTTTTAGAGCAATTTAAACCGATTTAAAACGGTTTAAACGGACTTGAATAGTATAAATCGGATTTTAAGAAAATCGTTTCGGTAAGAGGGGATTTGCCGCCTAGGCGGGCGCCTAGTCGGCGCCTAGACCGATTTTTAGAACATTGATTAAAACTAATAATACAAAATTATGGTTGCTATTGGAGAATCCTATTATCTTGTATAACATAAAAAATTAACATAAAAAACATATATTTAATAATAGATATATATATATATATATCAATTTAAATTTATGATATTACGATGAGAATCTTCCCAACGAAATGTTAATTTCTGATAAACTCATAACGACCAAAATTAAGGAATAGACATCCAAACCAAATAGTTAATTAACAACAATAAAAAAATTAGTTTAAGGCAAACGGAAGCCTCTAAAGTTTGATGTAACCCTCTGAAAAAGCCAAAAATAACAATATTAAAAGGATCTACACTGTGCTAATATTAAGAGACTCACATAAACAAAAAAAAGAAAAAAAGGAAGAAGTTTTCCCCCAAATCCACAAACCCCACTCTCAATTCCTCTCCCCCATCACTCTCTCTCTCTCGTTTTCTTCGGCTGTGAAGCAACAGGAACTGCGAACATCCCTGGATTTACCCAAAACCCCCTCAAAAAGTTTCGATTTTGGCGAGTCTGTGAAAGAGAGAGAGAGAAAAAAACAGAGACGAATCTCTTGAATGCAATGTGAGAGAGATCAACCAAGACGACGAAGAACGACAATGGTGGCTGCAGCAATCTCCAACACAGACACAAGAAACCCACCTCGAGATCGACCCACCAATGTCTCCGGACAAAGAAGACCCAGAGGCAAACAAGTCCCTTCTCGTTACTTATCTCCTTCTCCTTCTCACTCCCTCTCCTCCACCACAACAACAACCACAACAACGACAACGACAACAACAACATCCTCCTCTTCTTCCTCTTCCTCCTCACTAAAGCCAAGCAAACGCTACCCATCTCCGTTACTCTCTACCTCCTCTTCCAACTCCAACAAAACGCCGTCGTTTCTACCCAAACGCTCGCAATCCGTAGACCGCCGCCGACCCTCGCCGTCTCCGACCACCGAAATGTCGGCGGCGACGAAGATGCTCATCACCTCCACCCGGAGCTTGTCTGTCTCCTTCCAAGGCGAAGCCTTTTCCCTCCCGATTAGCAAAAAGAAGGAGCCCGTTTCTCACCGGAAACCTACCCCGGAGCGGCGGAGATCCACGCCGGTGAGAGATCAGAGGGAGAACTCTAAACCAGTCGACCAGCAACTCTGGCCCGGCGCCTCTCGATCCGTTCCCCCGAACCCTCTCTCAAGAAGCTTAGACTGTGGAAAGCTTGGATCTAAAGTTTCTATTAATGGAAGGTTGAGTTTAGATTTGGAAGGTTTGGAGAGCGGAGATAGAAGACTACCAAACAATAATGACTTCACTGCTTCTGATACTGATAGTGTCTCTTCTGGTAGCACTAACGGTGTTCAAGATGGCTCTAACGCTAACGGTGAAATCTCCAAGTCGTTGAGCTTGCCACGTAATGTTATGGCTTCCGCTAGGTTCTGGCAAGAGACTAATAGCAGGTTGAGGAGGTTGCAGGATCCTGGCTCTCCTTTGTCCTCTAGCCCTGGTTTGAAAACCAGTTCCAAGTTTGGTCATTCCAAAAGGTTTTCTAGTAGCGACGCTGTTCCTTTATCATCGTCTCCTCGTGGTATGGCGTCTCCTGTAAGAGGTTCTGCTATTCGTTCGGCTTCGCCGAGTAACCTTTGGGCGACAACTACTTCGTCTGCGTCTCCAGCTAGAGCGCTTTCGAGTCCTTCTCGAGTGAGGAATGAGGTTTCTGCTCAGATGAACGCTTATAACCGCAACAATAATACGCCTTCGATTCTTAGCTTCTCTGCTGATGTTAGGAGGGGGAAGATTGGGGAGGATCGTGTTATGGATGCGCATTTGTTGAGGCTTTTGTATAATCGTTACCTGCAGTGGCGGTTTGTCAATGCGAGGACTGAGTATACTTTAATGGTGCAGAGATTGAATGCAGAGGTATGGCTTATGAGTTTTTTTTAAGTCCCTTCTGGATTGAATTTACTTTTAGACACTGTTGCAGATTTAGAAAAAGGTATTATTTTTCAACTATACTTAGGATCAATGCTCAAGAAATCTAATTAGTCACTTTATAAGAGATTATTAATTAGGTGGGCGCCTAAACAAACGCCCCAGGTAGACCTATTTTTAGAACACTACATCTTTATGTGCAAGATTTATTAGACTCATAGATTATGTTCATCCTAGGTGTCATCATCCAAGATAAATCATGAAAAGATGGAGATTAAGTATGAATGTGAAATCTTACCGAGCTAGAGTAGTGGAAGAGTAGTCTATATTAAGTATAGTTGGTTGAGATCTTTCAAGAACATGGTTATAAGCCCTTTTTCTTTGCCGGCATAACATTGAATGTGAATCAACCATTTGTTTCTCTTTGCCAGAAAAACCTGTGGAATGCATGGGTATCAATCTCAGAACTGCGCCACAGCGTTACATTAAAGCGAATCAAGTTGCTTTTGCTAAGGCAGAAACTGAAACTGGCTTCTATCCTGAGGGGACAGGTAAGAATTTGATACTTAGGGGCCAATGTCTTGATTAAGATTTGTTTCTTTCTATTTTTGAGCTAGAAGATAGATATTCTGTGGAATTTGGATTTAGTGATTCATTCTTTGCTGTAGCAAGAAAAGAAAGTTTTGGTTATAATAACTCAATTTAGTGCAGAATGGAAATTGTACTGAAACAAGTTTAGCAAATGAATCTGGACTCTAGTTGATTATTTATGGATGTTAGGTAAAACTGTTATATCCACCTCTAGAGTTTGGTATACTTACTTGCATAGAATCATCCTACAACAACATTCTGAATCTTTGACAAGGAAACATGAGACTATTTATTTTTGATAACTGTAGTACTGGTACATCCTCATTGGTGATGCATATGAAGAGAAAGAATAGTATTTATGTTATTTTCAGTATAAGTAGTAACAAACTCGGTCGTGTTTTTGTTAAATTGTAGATGGGATATCTAGAAGAATGGTCTCTACTAGACAGAGATCACTCAAGTTCTTTGTCGGGAGCAACGGAAGCTTTGAAAGCCAGCACGCTTCGTCTGCCAATTGTTGGAAAAACCGTGGTGAGTACCCCTGTGACATAACAGCCCTGATATGATTTCTTTTGGCTTAATTCGAAATGGTTAACAAAAGTTAATTGCTTAGGTTGATATCCAAGACCTTAAGCATGCTGTTAGTTCAGCCGTCGATGTAATGCAAGCTATGTCATCTTCCATATTCTCACTTACTTTGAAGGTAAAATGCTGTTTTGAGTGTAGAGATGTTTTCTGAGTACAAAGCCCTTGTGTTATATGGACAAAGGTTATATATGTTGATGGCGAATGTTATTAATCATGGCTAGGTTGATGAAATGAATTCTGTGATGGTCGAAGCGGTGAATGTAACTGCAAAGGAAAAGGTTTTGCTTGAAAGATGTCAAGGCTTCTTATCAAGAGTAGCATCTATGCAGGTAACTACTCTTCTTCTTGTTTAGAGATTTTAATGAGTCTACTCCATTCTGATATCGATTTTGTGGGTTAATGCAAAACAAACAGGTTACGGATTGTAGCATGAAGACGCACATAATACAACTAAGTCGGATACCAATCATCACAAGCAGCTTGACTTCACAACAACAACTGTAGAAAAAAAAAACTGATCTTCCTCAACACAACAGATTTGTTCTTTTTGACTACAACAACAACTATTCTCACCAAGAACAGATTTGCTAACACGGTGTGCCTTTTCCTTCCTTCCGAATCACTGTCCTTATCGTTTTCAAACCAAGATTAAGGTGAGATTCGCGGGTTAATTATCATCACCATCATCTCTCTCTCTCTCTTTATCCTCCTTGCTCTCTCTTGCTTCTGGTAGTTCTACGTTTGTTTGTTTTTTTCTCATGTAAGATTGCAAGTAGTAAAGCCCTCTAAAAAAGTAAGTAAGCTTTAGTTTTTGTATACAAAAAAGTTTTATATTCTAATGGTTCTTTGGTTTGTGTACATATAAAAGATGTAGTAGTTGTGTGACTCACTGATCTTGTCTGCTTTTTTTTAGTTCTAGACTTATTGCCGTTTTTTTATGTTAAGATGTCTTGTCGTTTTTGTTTTCCGTGCCATCATAAAACGTCCCGTTGTCTGTTTGTCGATAAGTGTTGAAGGAATCAATCAACACTCTAAAAAAGCAAAGAGAATGTAGAATGTGTGCCAGAGATTTGTACCAAACCAAAGTGCAATTTCTTTTCTGTTATATAATAAAACTACATTTTGATCCACGCTTTCAAAGAGCGAGATTATTTTCGAAACAAATCAAATTTGTATGATATAAATTTGCATGTTTGAATATGTATTTACAATTAAATGTGACATTTAAATATTACACATGAAACTTTATATTCAGTGTTATGAAACATGACCTAGACCCGTTGTTAAACCGACGAAACCGATGATTTTATATGTTTTCTGGTTTATTTTTTTTTTAAATTCGTTATTTAAAAATTCTATAAAACCTCCAAAATTTCCGTTAAAATCTGAGACTCGGTTACTGGTTCAAAGTGCGAGAATATTTTTGAAACAATCTAAATCTATATGATATAAATTTGTATTTTTGATTATATATCAATATTTACATATTACACATAAAACATTATATTCAGTATTTTGAAATATAATCTGGACCCGTTGTCAAACCAACAAAACTGAAGATTTTATATGTAACCCGGTTTGGTTTTAAGATAAAAATGTAATAAAAATTCTATAAACTCGCAAAAAATCGTGTATTAAGGTTGATAGATATTATTTTTGCAAAAAGATTCAAAGGTATTTTGAAAGAGATTAGCCCATTAAACAATTCATTAGATAGATATTGTTTGTACAAATTATATAGTTTTTAGGTCAAAAAATCAGAAGACTATATTATCATTAATAAAAATAAAAATTTGTTAATATCATTAAAGATAATTTTGAAAAACATTAAAACTTAAAAAAAAGAAATAATCATATTTTAATGGTATTGATACAAAAGAACTAGAAAATGTGAAAATCGAAAACTACAATATCATATGTTAGGTTGGACAAACAAAAAAATGAAAAAAAAAAAAAGCAAAAACAAAATCAACACTTCTAATCCTTTGGGAAAAGTTGTAACGTCTTGTTCGCTACGATTGCACTTTCAAACTCATCAACGTTGTTATCATCAAACTCAGGCAATGGAAGTTCATTAAGATCTGGCAATTCTACAAAACTCTTCTTTCCACCCGAAATTTTTGTTAAAATACTCTCATGATGATTGGGAGAGGACTTGTCTCCCGCTATAACCTCGTCGTCACTATGCTTGTGACCGCCTACAAAACTCTGATTTCGACCCGACATGTTTGTTACATCACTCTCATGATGATTGGGACTGGACTTGTCTCCAGCTATTACCTCGTCGTGACTACGTTTGTAACCGCCTAAAACGCCTTCGTAGTGACGACGTTTGTGTCCACCGAGAGCTTGTCCCGTAGGAAACACATCGTGACATATAGAACACTTGTGTATTTTACCAGATGGGGCCATCCTCGGCCGCGTTTTTCCTCCAGCTTCTGCGTTTGCGTTTTCAACGAGTGGTTGTTGCGGCTTAACTCGGTGGCTAGCCTTGTGTCCACCTAAAGCTTGGTACGAAGTAAACTCTTTTCCACATACGTCACACTTGTACGAGTCAAACTTCTGCGGTTGCCTTTGCGTAGGCCTATCACCGGATAGCTTGACGAGACAGAGAGCAGAGGTATCATCTTGAGACGGTGAACAAGACGAATGTTCTCTATTTCCTTCATTAGTAGAAAACTGTGGTAATGACTGTGTGCTACTTCCCAAAGTTAGATTAGTCGAAACGACGTTGTTTTCATACTCTTCTTCTTGTGGCTTGAATAGTATGATTCTTTGTTCCACCGTCTCAGAAGAAGAGGGAGAAGGAGTCTCACTTGAACACTGTCCACACTCTTCTTGTGTCACCGTCTTAGAAGAGCGAGAAGAAGTATATTCATCATCAACTGACTGGTCACTACTTTGTAATCTTGGCTCAACACAAACAGTGCCTGTGGCACACTCTTCTTCTTTTTCTAGTCGTCTTCTTTTCGACGAATAATCTTCTTCTTCTTCTTCTTCTTTTTCTAGTCGTCTTCTTTTCGACGAATAATCTTCTTCTTCTTCTTCTTCTTTTTCTAGTCGTCTTCTTTTCGACGAATAATCTTCTTCTTCTTCTTTTTCTAGTCGTCTTCTTTTCGACGAATAATCTTCTTCTTCTTCTTCTTCTTTTTCTAGTCGTCTTCTTTTCGACGAATAATCTTCTTCTTCTTCTTCTTTTTCTAGTCGTCTTCTTTTCGACGAATAATCTTCTTCTTCTTCTTCTTCTTTTTCTAGTCGTCTTCTTTTCGACGAATAATCTTCTTTTTCTTCTTTTTCTAGTCGTCTTCTTTTCGACGAATAATCTTCATTAGTAGGACGGTTCTGGCTTGCATACACGTAAGGATCCAGCACTTCCATAACGGTGGATCTTGTTGAGGGTGAAAGTTGACTCAGGGTTTTAAATAATAGTAGAACCATCTCTCTGTTTTTTTCCATTAAGACAGAATCTTCGGAGTGATTTGTCATGTCGGTTTGGTGAATTCGTGCTAAGGAAGTGCTAACTTATATATATAATAGATGAAATTTCAGTCGGTGTAACTTTTCCTTGTTATCGTTTACTAGAAGTAATTGGAATATGGAATGTGAGTTATCGTTGACAGAAAAAAAGGAATGTGAGTTATCAAAAAAAAGAAAGAGATTTTCTTTGAATCCCGAAATATTCTATACTAAGCTTAATCTAATAATATAAAATAGTTAATTTTTTTTATTATTTCCATATTATGACTAAGAGTGACAGTGTAATAGAAGGAAACATTACTAAAAAAGGCAGATGCTTTAACAACTTTTAAAAGGCAATTAATTTAACCGCCCCAAAAAGGAAGTTTTTATTTTGAGCTGTAAAAGCACAGTACAAAACGCATCAGCGTCTGACATATAAATATCATATCTTTTTCAAATATTCATTCCTTCGTGGTATTATTTTTATATATTAAATTAAAGATAATAAGATTAGTTTTAGTTCAAGTAATCCATAAGTCAGTTTAATTGAAGAAGTTACACAATGGATAAGGGAATACAATATATCTTCTTTTTGAAAATCTTAATAAAATCTCATGTTAAAAGTTAGATCAGTTAAGTTAATGTTATTTGTATTCTTTAAGAAAACTGTTAAAATTTCTTTATTTATATTGATCATTTTTAATTTTTTTTGTTGGGGTGAAATCGGTTTGAGATCCCTCCAAATACAAAGTTTTTCCTCCTCTTTTTTTTTGTTATGTAATTGTATAGGCTTCGATTGGGCTTTATAATAAAAGGCTAAATTTCAATTATTGGGCTAAACTGATTAACAAAACCCTAAAAGAAAAGGAAGGAGGATGATGTAGCCGCTATGCGATAAAGAAAACCCTAATCCCAGAAGGTCAAATCCATCTACGTCCGTATATATAGGGTTTGGTCTTCTACAACCAATTCAAAACACAAAAGATACTTCTCTAGCCTTTCTTTTATTTTTGGTTTTACAATGAACACTACTAGGGCTTTTATGTTATTTGATTCGTGGGGCGTAAAAGAGGATATGGTGATGAAACGAATAATTTCGTGGACTAGAGTTTCAGATCTGGGCTCTTCACCCAGTACTTGAAGATACAACCCTTGGCTGTCTGAGTATCTCTTTTTACGCTCACCACCACAATCATATTTTTTTAACATTATTTTTTCGCTTCTTCTTTATATATATAGCCGATGAGGATAAAAACAATTATCTTAGCGGATTTCAGTGAGGTTTTTATAATCAATGATCTGAATTGTTACGCACACTGAGGCTATTCTTTTTATAACTAATTTGAAAGAGTGAATTTTTTTGTTTATTTTGTGTTTAATTTGATGCGATGATGATAAAACAGCACGGAGGTGCATGAAGGGCAGTGGACAAAACATAACATGTTTTGCCGTGAGCTCTCTTTAATTAAACGACTTCTCCTTCCACTGAGCATTATTAGTTTTTAATATATGATGATTAGTAAAAGATGCCTTTACTAATCCGACATGACTTCTCTTGTGCGCAAGACATCATCGAATCAAACTCTATCTACTCTATGGAATCCATCATCTTTTTCAGAGATTGGAATGCTTGGAGTGTTGTCTGTAAAAACTTATTTTTGTTACGCAATAATTGTTAACATATTTTGTTTACGTGATTGAGTACAGATCGTTGGAAGGAGCAATGACGAAAGAAAATAAGGAAGGAATAGAGGAAGAACACAACTGCATCTGTATAACGATGAAACGCTTTACATGAAATATATATATAATGCATACAAGCATGCAACAATGGACGATGATTCAAACGCGTTTCAAGACTAACTATTACCTTGGTTCATTGGTTGTGTAATTAAATTTATAATTATTAAAACTATATAAACATTAATTGATAAAATGGCAAATGTCCTAATAATTTCTCAAATATGAAAGGCACACTTTTCTTCGAGGTCTCTTCCATTCACAGCTGCCGACAAATGGAATTTCGATGGCTATATATGAATCATAAATAGTCGTGCTTATTCCTACACATCATCCTATGACGTCGATATTGTTCAATGCATATGGCTCTTCAAAACCACTGGTAATGTGTGGAAGAACTAACCAATTTGGGAACAATGATAAGGCTAGACCAGAAGGGAAAACGACCCTTATTGAATACTCAATCCGTTTCAATTTAGTTGTCATTCTAGAGTTTTGCACACAGATTAAGAAAACAATTAGTTTTACATATTTTTAAAATAAAAACACAATTACACACTTATTTTGAAATGAAAATTTTACTCTATAATGACATATAATTTGAAACGGAGGGAGCAACTTTTAGTACTCTTATAATTAATGGATAATAAAGTTAGAGTGGCTAAAGTCTTTAGTACACTCTTAATGAATGATTAAATTTGTTAATATATAATTAACTATTAAAAAAACAATATTATAAGTATCAAAACTAAAAAGATTATATTGTTTTACCAAAATAATTATTTATATAATAATGTTTAAAATAAAGATAAACCCATATATGTATTATCATATCATATATATATATATATATATGAAAATTATCATTATCTAAAAATAATTTATATTATGTTATAAAGTCTTTTTAACCTTAATGAATCATTAGATTTGTTAATATATAACTAATCATTAATTAAAAGCAAATTTACTTGATTTACTAATTAGTATTATATCAAAATAATTTATACTATATTGTCCAAAAAATTATTTACATCATAAAATATTTTTCGTATCCGATCTCTCACGTTAAAAGCGGCTAAAGTCATAATACCCTTAATGTATAATAATTTTTGTTAATATATAATCTACACTATTATTTGCGAAATAATTTTTCGCATCAGAGTCCTAGCGTTAAAAGTTAGAGTAGCTAAAATCTTTAATACCATTAATGAATAATAAATTTGTTAATATATAGTTAGATCATTAATAAAAAATTATAATTATCAAAACCTAAAAAGTTTATATTGTTTTATCAAAACAATAATTTTATATATTATTTTTTTGAAAACAAAGATAAATCCATATATGTATTATCATTAATATGAGAACTATCATTATCTAAAAAATAATTTATATTATGTTATAAAGTTTTTGTTAACCTTAATGAATAATTAACCATGAATTATAAATGAATTTATTTGATTTGCTAATTAATATTATAACAAAATAATTTATATTTTACTGTCCAAAATTTATTCTACATCATAAAATATTTCTTATAATCCATACAATTTTGTATATAGTTTGTATATACATAAGCGTTTTCAAGTTTATCATGCAGTAAAATATAATTTTATTATATTAAAAAAATTAAAAAGCTATATTTACTTTATTACTAATTATTTTTAATGTATACATGTTTTGAGTTTGATTTTACGTAATAAATGTAGTTATATCATGATAAAAAATTGTTTATAAAAATTTGTTCTGTAATTTATTATTAAATATTTTAAACATATGAATGATAACTTATTTTAATGGTGTTTGAACTGATGATCTAATCTATTAACTGAAGTACAAGTTAAAAATAATCTTTAATTTTATCTATAATTACAAATGAATGCCATTCTATTTTTAATTAACAAATAAATTTACAAAAAGTAATATATACAAATTTTCATAAAATCGCAAGTGAAATTTCCTAATATTTTAGCTATTACATCAACTTTAAAGATTGCAACTTTTTGATTCCCTAAACTAAAATATAAAATATAAACCAGAAATCCTAAATATTCAATTTTAGATTAAATATGCTAGATACATACATAATATTTTCACTAAACCATTTCATTAGAGTATTTGAACAAATTTTTTAATTGCTATGGCTTTTTGTATGTGTCCTTAGTAAATACAGACATAATTTATTATTTCATTTGTTAATCTCATTTTATCATAATTATTTTAACGTGTGTAGTTTGAATCATCAGAAATGTATAGTGATTCTCGTTTATATAAAACAACTAAATAATGAATTCAGTATTATTTAGTGGATGCGTTTTCGTATAATAGCAATTAAAATATTCTTTCAGTTACTTATATCATGATATTATATATGTAATTTCTCCATTAGTAGCTTAAATTGATATTCTTTCAGTGTTTTAAAAGATGTATGTTTATGTATTTTCAAAAAACACTTCCGAAATTCAAAAATCCATACTAAAAGCTTAGTAAAATCAAAATCATATGTAACTATGTTTAGTAATCCAAATACAAAATCCATACTAAAATAAAATGTAAATTTAACATATGATGAATAATAAAAATACATATGTTTAATAATAAAGATAAAATATTAAAAATTTAAATGTCATAGTTACGTACAAATATTCAATTTTTAATAATCAATCCCTTATAAAATTGCTAAATATATATAATTGAATAAAAACGATACAACTTATGTTTTTAAAAATATTTATTTAATTATTTCAAATAGTTAACATGCTAACACTATATACTACAATCATATAAAAACATATTGATCCATATTGTTGTTCACTTGCTTATATAAATGATAGATTAGTTATTTACAAATGAAACAAAAATTTACTTACATAAAAATGAAAAAAAAAACAACATAACATATTATATATTTTTAAATTTTGCTTCATTAGTAAACAAGCTTACTACTCCCTCCATTCCATTTTATTTGTCTTTCTAGAGAAGAATTTTCGTTGCAAAATAAGTGTTGTTTTATAATTTCAATGCAAATTATTAACTTTATCTACTTTTCTTTTTTTTATTGGATAAAATGTGGTTAGGTGTATAGGTAATTGTGTGTTTTATTTTGAAAATATGTAAAATTAAATGATTTTTTAATTTTAATTTGTGATACACAAACTTAAAATGACAACTAAAAAGAAAGAGATGTAGTAAAAGTTCTGTTTATAGAAAACTAAAATTACAAAGTAAATATTTAATAC